TTTTGCCACAGAAATCCAAGTGATTACTGAAAAATAAATTGTTCATAATTTCGTCTAATTTTCCCCGTGATATCCAAGTGATATCCAAGTGAAAAATATCCAAGTGATATCAAAACCATTTGTTTGATATCTCTTTTTGGTAATGAGGTCTCTCCAGCTATAATTTTCCTGATTAGTGGAAATCCATCTCGGTATGTTATGACTAGATTAACATGTTTTACCTATAGTTTATGAACAATATTATATTCTTTGATTGACAAAAATATTTTTAATGGATAAACGATGATGAAAAGAGATTTTTTTAAAAAGAGTAAAGCTAATATAAAGTTTTGTTCTCTCCATGTTAAGTAATGTTTGATTGATGTGATTATTTATAAGAATTTATGCTTTCCGAAACTGTTGCAGGCTCTGAGTCATCCATACTTTGGTACGACTGCCTCAGGGAATATGAGGCACCAACAACATGTAAGCACCAAATCACTTACTGTAATTCGATGTCACGCATTTTACTTAATTGGTTTATAGTAATTAGCTTCTAGTTACTAATTGGTTCTCTTTTAATTATGGTTTTAATAGTTGCAAGGAGACAGGAGTTGCATATTTCCTGAAGACCCTGGTCAGGTAAGTCCATTTTTTTAATGTTCTTATGGTCAGGTTAATTATAGTTTATACACTATACTTTTTATTGGATCAATTGAATCCAAATCTATAAATATGAACAGCTTTAGTTTCCAAAATTTATCCCTTTTTTTCCTTTTTCTACTGTTTTCTTTAAAGATAAAGTTGAATTAATATTAAAAGATGCAGTCGGCAGCTTTTTTTAACCCCCATCTTACAATAATATTATAACCAAATTCGTTAAACCCAACAAAGTCAATAAAATTTATTTAAATCTCAACTTTCTCCTTATGTGCTTTTTCTCTTCGCATCAAAGTGCATTTCAAATTTCTTTGGCGGGTCTTTTATTATATGCTTTGCACTAAATAAAAAAATATTCAGTTTGTTTGGGGATAAAATCACTGAAATATATTTTTGTTTTTTTGGTCACCAACTGAAATATTTATTTTGTCCAAACATCATATCATCGTATATGTCTTTCTGTCTCATTGCAATCGCAAACGTTCAGTCCAAAAAGAAAATTCACAATTTTTTTGCCTAATATTGATATTCTTAATAAATACAATCCATTTTTGAAGTAACATTTATGTTATTTTACTTTCATATTTATAATAGTATATTCAACACCTATACAACTTCAAAATTATGAATAAAATTTTTGTTTTTAAAAATTGTAACAAACTAAAAAAAGATAAAATTATGTCACAAAGATGGACTGAATTATCAATTATCGGGTTATATAGTATGTGTTACTTTGTTATTAATCATTAAGGAACATTTGCAAAAATATCATTTTTTGTGTCCACATTTGCAAAAATACCACTAATTATGATTTTTTAGAACCTAAATCTTAAAATTCTAAACTCTAAAAAATCTTTTGACCCTTAAAACCTCTTAAGCCATCAAAACTATACCTTAATACAACATAGTTAGTCCAAACATAAATGATATAATGACTAAATAATTTTAAAAAGTGGCATTTTTGTAAAGTAAGTGGTATTTTTTAAAAATTTTCATTAATCAATGCTATAAATATTAAATTATTTTTTTCGTGTTATGAAATGGTTTTAGCTCGTGAATGATCAGTGCATGAAGAGAAGAGGAGCTTCGTCTTCATCTACGGACA